GCACTTTGGGAGGTCGAGGTGGGAGGATCACTTGAGGTCAGGAGTTCAAGACCAGCCTGACCAACTTGGAGAAATCCTGTCTCTACGAAAAATACAAAATTAGCCGGATGTGTTGATGCATGCCTATAATACTAGCTACTTGGGAGGCTGAGGCAGAAGAAACGCTTGAACCCGGGAGGCAGAGGTTGCAGTGAGCCAACATCACACTATTGCACTCCAGCCTGGGCAACAAGAGCAAAATTCCGTCTCAGAAAAAAAAAACAATACCTAAAGCTAGGTAATTTAAAAAGGAAAGATATTTAATTGGCCTATAGTTCTCCAGGCTATACAGGAAGCATGGTGCTGGCATCCACTAGGTCTCTGGTGAAGCCTCAGGAAACTTACAACCATAGCAGAAGGGAAATGAGGATCAGGCATCTCACATGGCCAGACAAGGAGCATGAGTGGAGAGGGCAGATGTCACATACTTTTTTTTCCTCTTTTTAATTTATTTATTATACTTTAAGTTCTGGGGTACATGTGCAGAACTTGCAGGTTTGTTACATAGGTAAACATGTGCCATGGTGGTTTGCTGTATCCATCCCCCCATCATCTACATTAGGTATTTCTCCTAATGCTATCCCTTCCCAATCCCCCCCACCTCCTCCTATCCCTTCCCTATCCCCCTACCCCACAATAGACCCTGTTGTATGATGTTACCCTCCCTGTGTCCATGTGTTCTCATTGTTCAACACCCACTTATGAGTGAGAACATGTGGTCTTTGGTTTTCTGTTCTTGTGTCAGTTTGCTGAGAATGATAGTTTCCAGCTTTATCCATGTCCCTGCAAAGGACATGAACTCATATTTTTTATGGGTGCATAGTATTCCGTGGTGTATATGTGCCGCATTCTCTTTATCCAGTCTGTCACTAATGGGCATTTGGGTTGGTTCCAAGTATTTGTTATTGTAAACGGTTCAGCAATAAACATATATGTGCCTGTGTCTTTATAATGGAATGATTTATAATTCTTTAGGTACATACCCAGTAATGGGATTGCTGGGTCGAATGGTATTTCTATTTCTAGATCCTTGAGGAATTGCCACACTGTCTTCCACAATGTTTGAACTAATTTACAGTCCGACCAACAGTGTAAAAGCATTCCTATTTCTCCACATCCTCTCCAGCATCTATTGTCTCCTGATTTTTTAATGATCACCATTCTAACTGGCGTGAGATGGTATCTGAGGTCTTCATCACTGGTCATTAGAGAAATGCAAGTCACGCACTTTTAAACAGCCAGATCTCCTGGGAACTCAAGAGGCTGGCTTGCTAAGCCATTCATGAAAGATCTATCCCCATAATCCAAACACTTCCTGCCAGGCCTCACCTCCAACACTGGGGATTATATTTCAACAGGAGATTTGGCAGGGGCACAGATTGTGACAGTTTCTTCAACAATAAATTGAGTTGTTTTTCACAAGCTGCTGTTTTTAGAGATGGGTGGGAAATAGTTCATATAATATTTGGCAATTTCCTTTGAGAACTATCATCTATATATGTGTAGACTTTATAAATAAAAAGTAGACTTTTTAAGTCTTTGAGGGTTTATCTGTTTTCCTTTTGATTAAAATGTCTTTCTCAGACTCCTCTTCATTAACTTTGAATCATGCTGTTCTGAATCAGGATTGAGGTGGGTGGGCTAAGGCTAGATGCAGTTTCGTCCCATGGCCTGGCAGAATGCAGTGGCCACGCAGGAGTCTGCTAGCCCACACAGTCCACACTCCTGATTCACGGTCAGCCTAAGAGTTGCTGCCAGCCCTATGTGGAGTTCATTATTTTTTTTCCTTCTCTGATGTGTGACCCTGCACTCAGAAGACCTCATTCTCCTTGTTTCTGACCATTTCTCCAAGTTGTCAGGGTCTTCTTGAATTATTCTCCTATATTCTAGAGCCCCAGTCAGCCTTCTCTACAGGGTTCGAAGCACAGGCACAGTGACTGTGCTCCATGTAAACACATTTTACTGGTGAGAGGTACAACATATTTTAAATGATTATAGCATTATTAAAAGATCAAAACCATGAATTCCTATAATTATATTTACATATGAAATCTGTCTATGTCCATACACAGGAAGATCGAAGGGTACATATGTATGTATACTTGTGCATGTGAGATTTAGTCTTCTGACTCAAGAAAGCAATGTGTTGAAGTGACATGTTTCGCTAAACAGCACACATCAAGACATTATGCTTCTGTTTATCCCACCTATTGAAGGGATTTAGATTATATTCTGCACATTACTGAATCAGACAAATAAGGAGTAGATGTTGAAGTGAACAACCTACTGCTTACATTCATTGCTTGATGTTTTATTTAGAAAGGCAGTTCTCATTGCAAGTCCAAAAAAAAGTGAGAGAAATGAATATCCAAAAATATTCATTTCCTTTTTCAGGAAAACAGCATCTCCCCTTCAAGAAGCATGAATTGTTCTTTCTTCTTAACTGTTCAGCCAACTCCCTCTGGATCTCAACTTTGGCTATATTGCTTGGTTTTTCTTTTCTTTCTTTTTTTTTTTTTTTTTTTCCTGTGTGTGCCTGTGTATAGGGAGGAGAAGCCATGTGTCTGAGGTGGTGACAACAGTCACAGAGCCAGAGCCTTAATCACTGTTTACTGATTTAGTCAATTTTACTAGCAAGCAGTGCTTTTCTAGAGAGCTGTTTTCCTGGCGGGGTGCAATGACTGCTTTCAGGGGCAAAAATATATGTCTCAGAGCCGTCTGGCTCACTCTCCCTGGCACTCACTCCTTGCCACCCCTGGCAGGGCCGCTTCACCCAGGCAATGGGCCGGTGTGTCAGCCTCTGCCTCTGACGGTGCTCATCTGGTGGTGGTGTTAATGAGAGCTGGATGAAAGCAGGAGGCAGGGCAGAGGACCCACCGGAGCGTCCAAACAATACCTATGGCAGGCAGAGCCAGCACGTTTCACACTGCGCCTCCGCTCCTGTGGTGAAAAGAATTGAAAATGACAGATCGAGGATTTTGCCTTCCCCTCTGATAGGCTTTTTTGTTTGGTTTGTTTACACTGCTTTGGAGTTAGGTGGCTGCTATTGTTGTTGCTGTCTTTCCTCTCTGCTTTTTCTTACAATTGTATACTTGTTACACTTAAAATGATGGCTTAGAGATGATCAAGAAAAAGGGCCAGTTAGGAATTGCTCACGTTTCTTGAATAGTTTATTTGTCACTTTTAATAACCCTCATCTCTATTCCTCTATTTGCCATGGTCAACACCTGAACTCTTCCAGCGACTGTCAAATTCAGAGAATCGTGGAGGGTGGGCTGACCTGTGAAATTAGGTTTGGAGGACAAAAGAGAATTGGGTGATTCCAGTGTTGGAAAAACTCTGTTGGTATTAGTATAAGTGTGTGAACATCAAATATGTCACATAACTGTTTTAGGTAACTACTCCGAGGACCAATCAAATGGCTGTAATGCATCCTTATTGGCATATCGCATCTTAGAGTCCATTCAGGGCAAAAGGATCATTCATCAAGCATAAGGGTTTTCATTGCTCTTGAGCCTGAGAAAATTCAAGGACATGATTGTAAGCTCGGGGCGGGAGCCAGGGCTTGGTCTAAAGGGAAACTTGCCAGCAACATGAGGTGATGACATCATGATAATCCCCAAAATAACAAAGTCCTTTCCCTCTCATGCTCCTTACTCTTCTGCTGTCCAGCCCAGATGTTTTAGTGGGTGGTTTCCAGTTGTGTGCTTTCTGTACTTTTTTTTTTTTAGTTGAAGGAGTTATATGTGCATCCCAAATAAATTGTTCAACATTAGATTGAAAAGACATCACCATAACCATTGCAGTCGGCCATAGTGACTGCCATGAGACGCCAAATGCTTTGAAACTCCCTACACTGGCATCCTCATTCTCCTACAGTCCAGGCTACCCTCCTCCCCACCATCCACTGAAACTCTCAGTGGCACCCCATGTGCCATCATTGTCCTCTTCCCGTCACCTGCAGGACCTACCAGAGATTCAGTGCAGTTGAGCCATTTCTCCTTTCCAGCACACTCCTTTTCAATTTAATAATTATTTCTGTAATCTCCCAGTCTCCCATAAACTCACAGGACTCAGTGAGATTGGAGAATGATGTGAGTGTCCATGGAGCATCTTAAAAACATTCGTGACAAACTGTGCTTCCTGTCTTAAAACACCCTCCACGTTCTTCAAGCGTCAGTTTAAGAAAGCATGCTGCTTTTAATTCATTATAATTTATCAAGGCCTATGCTAGGGAAAGGTGCCTTTCCAACTTCAGTAAAAGGCCCTCCGATTTCTATATGATCATTATTAGTAATATTAATAATAATGCAAATAAAGTGTTCCTAATACCTTTATAAGTAGCCATCAAATGATGTCATTTCTAAGGACTAAGATTTGGAAAATCAGATAAAAGTCTGGTAAAGTGAGGTCTCCAGTTTTGCTTTTAACCCCACTTGTCACCATCCTTACCTGCGTGAAGAGAAATTGATTTCACGTGTGTTGATGTTATGTGTAGTTAAAAATCCCCCAGTGTCCACAGTCAGAACCTTTGGTGGAACAGAGACAACACAGAACCACATTTTCCGCTCTCTGTAATTGTGTAGGTAAGGGACACCACAGAAAGGACTCTGCCCTGCCAGGGACATTGTTACAGAGATTACTGTCTTTGCTGGAAAATTCTAAGTAAAGTGGATCTAAAACAAACTATAAACACATCTCAAAAGTAGACACCTCCTCTAAATGAAGCATAACAGCAATGGGTGACACTGGCCTGGATTTTTGCAGAAGGACTGAATTGTCACAAGAATGCTCTAGTCTTCACAAATCTCAACAACAGTATCTCAAGTTCAGAGTTGTTATTTTCTCTTTTTGAGCTCAAAGTATATAATAATATTTGAAATGAGGGAGAGAGAGAGAGAGAGAGAGAGAGAGATGAAAAAATGAAGTGAGAAAAAGAAAGAAGGAGAGATCACCTTTAAGCCTTTTCTTTTCTCTTTCTTTCAAACGACACAATAGAATTTTTTTTCCTAAAGTTGTATTAGGGATTCACTTAAGCAGAAATGAACTGTAATATGCAAATAGTTCTAATTGGACTGCTAATAGAGCGTGTCTCTGTTGTTTTTTTGTACGGAGTTTTATGCCTATGTAATCAGTGCAGACAGCCGTTAAGTAAATGAAGAGGCAACTAACAATGTCAGAAAAGAGACCGGGCGGTTCCGGCTGACACTACCCTAATCTTCCAGGACCCATTAAATGGCAGTTTCAACGCATTACCTACCATAACATCCTTGAATATCACTGATTTTATTTGCAGTATCAAACATTCCATTTCATGCCCCATTAACAGTGGGAGCCTGAGCTTTTTGACGCAGCTAAACATTTTACTAACTACCTGGACTAAGTAACCAATTAACTTTTGGAGACAATACGGCCAATTAAGCGCGAAAAGGTAAGGCTGTCATCCCCCACGAAAATTGAATTTCCTTTTCCTGATGGCACTTATTGTCACCGTTCAATTGTTAATGGAGATTCGATCCCTATTAAAGTATGAAGGCAAAGCAGAATGGAAAAGTTCAGAGGACTTGGTTCCCGAAGAGTAGGTCACAAAGTGTCCCAACTGGCCACTAATTCAGTTAACTTTTCTTCATGCCAGATTACTTATTGGATGTGACTGGAACAGGCCTCTAATATGACAGTCTGTGATAGTACATTGCACAATCTGGTAGCTTGCGAGGAACCCACAGGCCCAGGGCGGTAGTTTGGGACCTTGTATCGGAGGTTGAGGAGGAAAAAAAGTTATTCGTTTTTATTTTTGTTTTTGTTTTTTTGACAGCAGAAATATCAGCATCTGACAAGATAGTGCCCTGGTTATCGCTGGCTTGGACTCCTCAGAGAGAAAAACAAATCCATGTATGGAGAGGTAGGCTCCAAATTAACCTTCTGTAGTTTGGGAAGTCATTTTCTAAATGGCAGACAAGGTCTTGGGTGGTGATTCTCTTCCATGGATTTGACTCCAGTTGACTGGAATGCAGCACAAGTAATGAACTTGGATATCACATTTTTGAAAGCTTGAGGCAAAATTTATCCCTTTGGTAGAAGTCTTTCATCTTTGAAGGTACAGAAGAAAATTTGTCCTGGAAGGCATCTTCCACAGGCCTTGTATAAGTGAGAAACATGAAGCTTATATAGAGTCAGAAACTAAACACTGAACTCAGATTTATCTATCTGTTAAACAGAAACAAAAACAAAAACCCACATCAAACAGCTTTGTGAAAATGCAACTGTTCTAAATGGAAAGAGACATCAAGAATTTTGAAAAATAGGTAAAGAATAGACTTCCAATGAATCTGACTTTAATACAAAAATTATATTAAAAACTTGAAACTGGCTTTAATACAAAAATTATAATACTTACATATTTAATGTTGTCAAATTATTTCTAGAGCAGACTTTGGAAAGGAGAAAGAAAAGGAGAGCGTTGGAAAGGATAAATGTTAAAAGTTGTTTAACATTTATTTAAAAGCTGCTCACATACACTTAAAATCTGAATTGGGCCTGAAAACTCATAAGTAAAGCAGTGATCTAAGTTGTGCTTGAAATTATTAATTTCCTGTATTGTTTAATGCTAGAGATATTTGATACCCATAGAACAGCTGTTGAATTGCCATGGGAAAAAAATTCATGTATTACATTGCTATGTTAGTATCCTTGGTTTATAACTTTTTTATGTTATTTCTGCCAGATTCTGTGGTGATGGAAAGCAGGAACAAAAAGAATTAATATTATATACTTTCAGGTTTAGGTATTCTTTGAAGAATTTGATAAGGATTGGCACTTCCAAAGATATGAATAAGAAATAGTCCTATCTGAATATGGACCAATTAATAACACTGATTGAAATTTCCTTTTGAAAATTTCCTTGGATTTTAGTATCTTTTCTCAAGAGACACAATTTTCTTTATAGAAGTGATTGCTGTGGGCTATTTATTTTAGCCATTTTCCCATGGCAGTGGATGATTTTAAAATGATTACAATAGTTTGAACTTCCTGTTATTTAAGATAGAGGAGTAAAGCCAGATCTCAGATGCTTCCCACTCCCACCCCCTGCCATCGCTACAAGAGAGTAATGAAAACAAACAAGCAATGGCCAAACGACATCAGCAGTACTCAGACTGTGGAAAGGGTGGTGGCCAGAAGCTTCCAATCATCCACATCATTAAGTAAAGATGGCAGGAGATACTGTAGGAAGCTCTGAGCTGGGAGGCACTGCAGAGTCTCAGGATCAGCTAAGGGGGACAGAGAGATATGTAGTGTAGAGAGACCCACATGTGGGTCCCCCCAGCCTTTTGCACCACCAAGGGAGAAGCCAAAAGTCTTTTGCCACTTAAGTTAATGAGAAGTGAAAATGAAGAGGAAAGTAAACAATCCATGCTATCGCTGGTACAAATAAGTTTCCAGGGGCCCACGCTGTACCTCCTACTAGAGTCAGGTATGTCACTGAGAAGCCAATCTTGACATTAGACATTTAACAAGAGGAGAGGGCAGATATCAGTTCTGGCCACTGAGGTTGCATCAAATCCTGAGGCTACAGAAAATTCACGCCTCAGGTGTGGCTCTTAGAAGGGACATAGAAGGGGAGAGAGGAAAGGGATTAATTATATGGAAAAACTTAACAAAACCAAAATCCAGATGCACCAATCAATCAATAAACCATTTAAAAAGAAATCATCTTGGGGTGAGTAGATCGGCCTAATAAACACAAAATTCACATACTAGAAAATGCTAGATATATGTGATTAAAAATATTCTGGGTAACTAGTACACACTATAATTTTTAGACGTCTAAGGAGAGTCAATCCAGGGGAAAAATAATTTATCTTTTCACAAAGGGCTATTATTTTAACTAATAAAAGCTCAAACAAATCAATAAAGAAGACAGAAAACTAGCAATTTACAAAGAAGTAAATACAAATGGCCAATAAATATATTTAGATGCTCAGTTTTACTCAGAATATTTTAAATTACAAATTAAAATAACAGCAGGTTACCGTTTTTTATCTCTCTGATGAAACAAATGCTAAGGTTGGTTTCTCTCCAGTGCTGAAGTGGGTGGAGCCAGGCTGCCACTTCCTATAAACTTTCTGGGGAGCAATTTATTAATGCATTTCCATATTTAAAAACAGTACTCTACTAAAAGTGCTGTAAGTTATACAAACAGAAACACGCAGGTACACATATACATACAAATACATATATTTAACTTTCATATATAATTTATACATGTGTGTTATACACATATAAACTTTATATGTATAAAACACACATGTATAAATTATATATATATTTTTAAAAAGTGTTAAGAATAATTCATCAGCAACCAAAGTTCTGTCAATAAAGGGGTGTTACTTTATAATAAAGTCCACTGAATAGAAAGGTTGCTAGATACATTAAATAAGAAAATAAAATGCCCAATAATGCACTTTTCTGAAAAGAAAGATTGCAAGATATGTTAAATTAAAAAATCAAGTACAACAGGATTTATTTTTCTGATGTGTACATATTTTCATTAAGTATGTATATATTTAGATGTATACACATATTTTTCATATGTACACAAAGTTTTCATATATATCTATTTCTACTATTTTAAATAATATAAACAAATACATCTGTATCTCCATGTGTTTTGCATAATTTAATACATTCATGAATGTTTAGGACCTCTGGAAGAAATCATAAGAAATTATGTATGCTAGTTGCATTTAGAGTCTGGTGGGGTTGTTAAAAAAAAAGGACACTACTTTTTACTTCGGATGTTCTCAGTTTTTAAGATATGCATGTGTATTCTTTCATATTATAAATTAATATCCACATTGTGAATAAGAGGACTCAACTTCTAGGCACATTTTCCATATTTGACTGTTTTCCTCTTGATAGTTTTCACTAGAAACAATCAAAATTACTTTTAAAATACTTTTTTTCTTGCTACCTATGTGATTGTAGAAAATTTAGAAAACAGGCGTTTCTTATCTGGATCACCAGAGATAATTTTGTGCCTATGGATGTTCTGTGAAGGCCTATTGTGTCTAGCAATGTATTAAAACACAGACTTGACTCTTCCCCCAAGAAACTCACATTTTAGTAATGGCTATATATATTTGAGTGAAGCGTACAAGCGATAATAGAAAGGTGTGTTTAATGATCCTTTAAGGGCACTTAGAAGATTTCTATGACAAGATATAAATGAAATGCTTCATCATTTTTGCAGTAGAATTAATATTTAGCTTTTTGAAATAATATTTTCTGACTAATAAACTAATATAGTGTTCTTTTACTAAATTTAGAAAAAATGCAGTAAAGTAAAAACATTCTCATTTTGAACAGTTTTATATCTTGCTCTTGCAGTGAAAATTTTAAAAAGGAAATACAGGTAAATAAGCATTCAGTGAAGGCTCAGAGCTAATAGGACTACTACAGTTATATCATTTTTAGGACATTGTATCATGCGCATTTCTTTATGGCAATAAATTATCTTTGAAAACATAACACATATGATTCAGTGATGCAATATAACTTATTTGAACACTTCATGGTTGTTGGGCAATCATTTTGAACTTTATTTTTTCCCATACATATTTTTAGCTGTGAATTAGACTCTTTAATGACACCTTATGTATATATTGTCATCCTAATGATGCTGTACCTTTTCTGACAAGGGAAATTATGAGATGGAGGTGGACATACGGTGGAACTGGAAGAGGCAATTCACTCACCAGCCCCCAGTTATAGGCAATACACTATCTTTGGCTTACCAAACAAGCCTCCTCCACTTGAGACATTCTAAGCTCTTGAATACACATTTAGTTGGGGAAACCTGCATTATAACAATAATGTGAGAAAGTGCTCTGAAGCCTGTATGTATTAAATCATTAGTTGGATTTTTGTTTGTTTGTTTGTTTGTTTAAGGCAGTTTAGACTGGCAAACTCATCTCCCTTCTCCATACGCAAATAGGAGAAGGGAGATGAGTTTGCATGGCCATTCCAGAAATGAGTAGTTATATGGGCATACAGTGCCATGGGCTTGAAGTGAAGTGAACACCATAGGCATAAAAAGGCAGTGACAGGCGTGAACAAGCACTAGGTGGGACCTGTGATTGGCTGGATTGGTCCTAAAGCACGAGGCATGAAGGAAATATCTAATGGTATTCCTAGGTGTTAGGGCTGCAAACCCTTATAAGATGATCTTAACAAATATGGATCAATGAAAAGGGTGAAATAAATTAAGAAAGCATGTAATGGCAAAAGTTATGTCAACTGCTTATTCAGGTAAATTGAGTTACAATTTGATGGAAAAGGCAGGGTGAGTCTCTTGAACCATCTGAGGAAAAGAAATATGACCATTGTAACTGAAGAAACTAGAGAGCCCAGGTCTGGCATCCCAGATGCCTACCATTGTGGTTCTAGTCTCCATCGAGAAAGATGACTGGGTTTAACACAAATAAGTACCTGTGGACAAAGATAGAAAAGAGTCTACATGAATGAAGAGAGCTGTGAACGTACTGAAAATTGAGTGAGTCAAGGTGTTTACAGTGAAGAATAGATTATAAGATACCTCAAAGTTCTGAATATGGGGGTAGTGTTATAGAACCATAGAAAAATGGGGGACATAGAAGGGGAGGTTTAGACATTTTTCTGTTATAAGATTGAATTCATTCAAAGTCACTTAGATTGTAATAATGAGGCTCATTTAAGACCTAGGACTTGCTGAAATAATATGGTTAAAGCCACGAGACGTAAGATTATACTTGCCATAACAGAACCCGTTTGGGCTATTATTAATCTAATCTCATAAGTGCACATAATACCCAAGCAAGCAAACCAAAGCTTTGAATTCAGTTTACACTAATAGTAAGAATAACT